ACAAGGTTATTAATCCAGCTCAAGGTGACTTCAACGTAATCTTGCATGCTCATGAGAAAGAGTGGGGAGTTGCACGCCGCCAACATTGTATGCAACCATTTAGTAATGCCCTTAATGATTACAATCTGGATTATCTTGGTTACAGTGGTGATATTTTCTCGTGGTCCAGGGGGTCATATGCATGAATGAGCAGTGGGCAATGGTCGATGGGCTGGTTTGTTTCTTTGCTTCGGTGTGTCAAATGAACCCTTCGACAAATCAGATCATCGCCCGATTTTGGTGGACACCGAGTTCCAGCTAGGCCTGCAACCGAGAGGGCCTAGTGGACCGTGGAAACTCGAAGCGTGGTGGCTTGCCGGAGAGGACGTCAAGACAATTGTCCAAACTGCATGGGAGGGCGGGAAGATGCATGGTTTGGCGATTCTAGAGCAGCTCACATTGGACGTTCACACTACACTACACCGGTGGGACAAGGAGGTTTTGAAGGGGCCTCGGACTAGACTCCAGGAATTAGTAAGTAATGCCCAGCCTGCTAACATATGAGCCTATTTCAAGACAACATGAAATTCATATCCAAATGGAAAACCTGCTCGAACAGGAAGAAATCTACTCACGGCGACCAAAACACTTACTTCTTCCGTAGGGCACTGATAGGACAGCCTAAGAAAATTCTCATTAGACGATTGAAAGCAGATACAACTGATTGGATCGAGGACCAAGAGATGTTCAAGTCACATTTGGCGACCTACTTCTGTTCCCTGTTTTTGACGGGGGTGCAAGAAACTGACCAGAACATTACTGATAAGGTTAAGCCCAGTGTGACCGAATATATGAATATGGAGTTAGACAAACCTCACACCACAGATGAGGTGAAATATCTATGTATAATATGGGTGATTTAAAGGCACTGGACCCGGATGGCCTACATGTTGTTTCCTAAGAGATTTTGCCACATAATCAGGGAGGATCTCATTCATGAAGTTTTAGCAAAGTAGTGTTGGAGACTTTTATTAGAACCTCACTCTTTATGTGATAGCGTGTTGAGAGAAAAATATACCCCTGATGGAGATCTCCTGAATTGCAACCTGAAGATGGGGAGCTCTTATACTTGCCAACGCCCGTGGGGTGGGATCCAAACTTTTAGGGCATGTTTTGTTGTCATAGCAACTTTTGCCTACATTGCATGCTTGACCCAGTTGAGCCTGGCTGAGGAAAAATAGGCAAAAAATCAACTTCTGCATGTTGTTTTGCTGCCTGCATACCCTCTATCCTGCCTGGAGCAAAACGGAAGGTAGGCTATTTGGTTGCCCGCTTGTTTAAGTGGAAACACAAGCCATGGCGTTTGGTTACCTGTAACACATGTTGTCTGGTAACCTCCTCATCAAGGTGGTGAGGTTACCAGCACACTAAGCAGGCAGAAAAAACAAAAGACACACAAATAGTAGCATATAAACATAGTTGTAAACCAAACCAAGCAGTTTTGAACCAAACCAATACAACATTAAACTAAAAACCAAACAAGCACGTGCACCAAAGAGCTCTCCTATACGTTTACGGTGAAGTTGTCATCGTGCCTCCCGTACTTGGTCACCACTTCAATGCCGTCATCATTGAAGACGATGACCTTGAGCGTGTCGGGAGTCAGAAACTTGAAGGTCACCATGTACCCGATCCTGTGGCGACGAAGGGGGCCCAACCCTGATCGTCGGTGACCTTGCCATTCATTAGCTTGACAGTGACCGTCCATGAGCAGCCAGTGTTCGTCTTCAGCTTGAACTCCGTTGGCACGACCGGGAAATGCTTCATGTAGTCTAGGGGCATTGGTATCCACTCGAGCTTCAAGGCGAGGATGACCTTGCAGAAGTGAGCAGCAAGTACATGGGGCATTGGCTCCTCAAGACCAACTTGTTGCATTCTGGACTAAGACATTGGTGGCGCCGGAGGTCATCTATCCAGAGCCAAAGGTGGAAGAGGAAGCGGTGGAGGTGGTGGTCAGGGCGCCGGAGCCAGGCCACCGTAGTATGCCGATTGATCTGGACGACTGCAAGGACGACAAGACAATGCATGCTACGGTGGCCAGGGCGCCGGAGCCAGGCCCCCGCCGCTCCAAGCACCTCCAGGGCCATCGCGGCTAGGATTTACCGCTACTATAAGATTAACCCTAAATCCCCATTCCCCTTGTACTCAATCCCAAACGAAGCCCTAAAATCCATCACTACTTCGTACTCATGAAGAAGTGTTGATCAATCTTATGGCTATTTACCGCGATTCCCCTTTCCCCTAGAACGCGGATCGAATAGGCCGACCGAATCTAAACGTGGATAGAATATGATAAATGTAAGCAAGGAGATGAAAATAGGGCTTACCACCATTGCCGTAGTGTTGTGGGTGATGTTGGTGATGCTAGTGATGGAGGCCGATGGTCGTCTTACTGTTCTCCGATCTGCTTATAGCCATCGTTGGTGTGAGAGTGGAGAGAGGGGGGAGAGAGAGAGGGGTGAGGGAAGGTGAGGGTAATTATTGCCGGAGCTTCAGGAAACAACGCGACGTCTCGAGCGTCGCTCCTCATGTGCAGCCACCACCGCCCTCGTGCATCCCATGGGCATGACTAAGGAAAAAGGATCAATTCGGCTGTTCCTAGAGGGCCTGGCCCGAAGGTGATTTAAGTTTTGTGCTATGCGGGTCAAACAGTGAACACATGTAACCAAACAACCAATTTTCTTCCCAAGAGAGCTTGATTGGCCTATATGCAGGCAACCAAACACGTCCTTAAAAGAGGGCACATATGGAGAGTAAGTGATGGATCACAAATAAATATCTGGGAGGCCCCTCCCTAACAGACCTACCAGGAAAGTTATGAAGACTAGAGGAAACATTCTGACCGTGAAGGTTTGCGAGATCATCAATGTGGACAACAGAGAATGGGATGAACAACTTGCCACAATATTTTTTTGGCCAATTATTGTGCAACGCATCCTAGACACCCCGCTTACTATGGGAATGATGGAGGACTTTGTTTCATGTCACAATAACATGAGTGGTATATTTTTGGTAAAAAAAGGCTTATCGCGCAGAGTGGAAACACCAACATAGGATGAAAGTTGGAGAGATCCCCATGTACTAGTCCTATTTGGGAGATCATATGGAAATTGCATGTCTCGGTCAAGATAAAAACCCATTGCCTTCTTGGCACTATTCCCTACCTCGAAGTGCTTGCTAATAGACATATCATCACAAGCTCGCAATGGCCTATCCGCGGCTCCGATTGCGAGAGCATCCCCTATATTCCTGTGCCCACACGTGCACAAGATATGGCGTCTCTTTGGGTCTGTCAGCTTTGGTTAATGACTTCTGCGTTATGGATAGAGGATAAGGTTTAGTGTTGGGCGACTTATTACCGACACCAAGTATTGTTTGGCCATTGCTTCCGGATGTTACTCGCATTAACGTGATAGCTACTGCGGTGTGGTATGTTGGGTGGGAAGGAACAACGACACTTTACTCATAGTGGAAGCTTGTTGAACTAGCCAGATTAGCGCATGCAATCTCAACGCTTGCAAAATTTCTCAAGAGCGAAAAAGAAAGGCAGTAGGCGTATACATTGACAAGGGTGGTCAAAACCAAAGAAGGCTTCGTCAAGCTGAATGTCGATGCCGCGTTCGACTGCGACAAGGGTTCCAGAGGATCGGGAGACACCCTCCATGATGCAAATAGTTTCTTCTTAGCTATTTCTTGTAGCGATACCTTTTGTTGAAGACGCGACGATATCGGAGGCCTGGGGACTCGGGACAGTCTCGTTTTGGCGAGCGATGTTGGCTGCAACTATCTTCTAGTTGAAGATGAATGCATGGAGGTAATTGAAGCGATGCAGAAGCGGAACATTGCTAGGACCTTCCGCGGCAGAGAGAATTTCTTCTACTCCTATAAGGGGACACATCGCTACTGATTGTGAGGGCAATCCGAGTGCTACATTATGGACCGTATCTAAAAAATGACACCTAAGTAAAAATATGTTGGCACATTATTCAATGAGAAAAGATAGGGTTACATATGTAGATACGACTCGTAGCTCCATATCCAGAACAACTCACACTTTCTTCTCATAAAAACACATTAATTGAGAGCTATTTTAGATTTAGGCTGCAAGTATCATATACTAATATCATGCATCCACAATGCATATATAATACCATCGCTTGATATCTTATAAGCATCATTTTTTATCATGCATGACACGTACTAGTATCATTTGATAGGATACGGTATCATATCACTCAGTCCTCTCTACATTCATTTAATTGTGTGTCATCTCAACAAAAATGTCTAATTGACATGTATGGTAATAGCTATGGTATCAGAATATTAATGCGTATGATACAATTGTACTAGATACAATGCATTGGGATTTGGGAGCGCCCTAGCATTAACTATTCCTATTTAATTAATATAGTTCTCTTGTTTCATGCAGAAAAAGATATATAAATTTTGATATGGACGTAGTCAATGTTTGCCTATTTGCAAAGCAAGGACCTTAGATTAGTCTAAGGCTGGTCGTAATGGTAGTATCATAGGTAGTATCATACATGCCAACTAAGCAATTTTGATGAGGTAGCATAAAATTAAATGAAGAAAGAGAGGCTTCGGTATCATATCTTGATACCGTATCATATTAAATGATGTGCTACTTTATGTCATGCATGGCAATACATGTAATCTTATATGATACCATGCATTACGGATTTAGTATCATACACTGGTATCATATAGATGATACTAGTATATGATACTCCCCATTACAAATAAATTAATAAACTAGAGATGGGAGAGTATCCAATTAAATTTATCGATTCTTATATATTATTCAAAAATACATTTCTAATTTCTAATTCCATATGCTACCACCTATAACTCCTTATAAATATATGTACAAGTAAAGCAATAGCCTTGCATTGCTTCCCCACAACTCAGATTGGTAAACCCAGACACCAAGTGTTCCGGCGATGGCTTCTAAGATCGCCAGTACTATGGTCATGTACGTATTCATACTGGCACTCCTTGCGTATTCAGGTTAGTATGCCGAGCCTTATCGAGGTGCATGCTGGTGACAGTGCTTCAAGATAGATGATATTTGTACTCGAGTGGTTCACAATATCTATCTTGTATGTTATAACAAAATCTCATTATTATTATTATTATTATGTAGATGCAAGGCGTTGTACACAACACCCAGTTAAGGATCCAGATTGCATCGGTCGAATTAACAGAACCTGTGTTAAATGTTGCAATGCGGAAGGCTACCGTCATGGAGTATGTGCACCCACATGCAAATGCTCTCACTGCGGACCTGAATCCCGTCCTGATGAACGTGCAAAAAAACAGTGAGCCTTGAATTTGTAACTAGCATGGACCAATAAAAAGATCAAGAGATCAAGTACATTACAACTTTATATACTTACATTTTTTTTGAGAAACCTTATATATCTATATGGATGGGTTTTTTTTGGAAAAGGGGTGCAACCCCGGCCTCTGCATCAGAATGATGCATACGGCCACATTTATTATAAGCAAATAAGTTCAACAAAGGTCATGAAGTCTGAAACAAACGAACCACAAAACGGCTCACGAAGAGCGGAAAATAAAAACCACAGCCGACAGGCAAAATGAAGAAAGGAAAACTAATTGCCTATCCTATTACATGACCGCCATCCAAACCGGCTGAATATAGGCTGAGTTACCATCTCCCATTGGGTAGATCCAGTAACCAAATGCTCCCTGGGCTCCTTCTGAGTGAGTACCGACCACATACGGATCAATGTAGTGGCTCGGAAAATAACCTGCAAAAACTGAGTATTTGTTGTTCCGTTAAAAACCAAATCATTCCTGCAGTTTCAGACTGCCCAAAGTAAAGCACATACTCCTACACGAATGTGTCTTGCTGTTTGGGTCTCTCCCATCAAGTCACATCCCAAATAACGTATTGATATCATTCGGAGGAGTAATATTAAAAGCAATGCGAACAGTCCGCCATAGAATTTTCTGAAGGAAATATGCCCTAGAGGCAATAATAAAGTTATTATTTATTTCCTTATTTCATGATAAATGTTTATTATTCATGCTAGAATTGTATTAACCGGAAACATAATACATGTGTGAATATATATACAAACATAGTGTCACTAGTATGCCTCTACTAGACTAGCTCGTTGATCAAAGATGGTTATGTTTCCTAGCCATAGACATGAGTTGTCATTTGATTAACGGGATCACATCATTAGGAGAATGATGTGATTGACATGACCCATTCCGTTAGCTTAGCACACGATCGTTTAGTATGTTGCTATTGCTTTCTTCATGACCTATACATGTTCCTATGACTATGAGATTATGCAACTCCCGTTTACCGCAGGAACGCTTTGTGTGCTACCAAACGTCACAACGTAACTGGGTGATTATAAAGGTGCTCTACAGGTGTCTCCGAAGGTACATGTTGAGTTGGCGTATTTCAAGATTAGGATTTGTCACTCCGATTGTCGGAGAGGTATCTCTGGGCCCTCTTGGTAATACACATCACTTAAGCCTTGCAAGCATTGCAACTAATGAGTTAGTTGCGGGATGATGTATTACGGAACGAGTAAAGAGACTTGCCGGTAACGAGATTGAACTAGGTATTGAGATACCGACGATCGAATCTCGGGCAAGTAACATACCAATGACAAAGGGAATACGTATGTTGTTATGCGGTTTGACCGATAAAGATCTTCGTAGAATATGTAGGAGTCAATATGAGCATTCAGGTTCCTCTATTGGTTATTGACCGGAAACGTGTCTCGGTCATGTCTACATAGTTCTCGAACCCGTAGAGTCCGCGCGCTTAAGGTTTCAATGACAGTTATATTATGAGTTTATGAGTTTTGATGTACCGAAGGAGTTCGGAGTCCCGGATGAGATCGGGGACATGACGAGGAGTCTCGAAATGGTCGAGACGTAAAGATCGATATATTGAACGACTATATTCGGACATCGGAAGGGTTTCAAGTGATTCGGGTATTTTCGGGGTACCGGGGAGTTACGGGAATACGAGGAAGAAGCAATGGGCCTCACGGGCCAAGTGGTGGAAGAGAGGAGGCAGGGCGCGCGGCCCCCTAGCCCAAACCGAATTGGACTAGGGGGCCGGCCCCCCTTTCCTCCTTTTCCTCCCCCTCCTTCCTTCTCCTTCTCCTTCTCCTTCCCTTCCTTCCCCTCTCCTAGTTGGACTAGGAAAGGAGGGAGTCCTACTCCCGGTGGGAGTAGGACTCCTCCCTGGCGCGCCCTCCCTTGGCCGGCCGCCCCCTCCCCCTTGCTCCTTTATATACGGGGGCAGGGGGGCACCCCATGACACACAAGTTGATCTTCGTGATCGTTCCTTAGCCGTGTGCGGTGCCCCCCTCCACCATATTCCACCTCGGTCATATCGTCGCAGAGTTTAGGCGAAGCCCTGCGTCGGTAGAACATCATCATCGTCACCACGCCGTCATGCTGACGGAACTCATCCCCGACACCCTGCTGGATCGGAGTCCGGGGATCGTCATCGAGCTGAACGTGTGCAGAACACGGAGGTGCCGTACGTTCGGTGCTTGGATCGGTCGGATCGTGAAGACGTACGACTACATCAACCGCGTTGTCATAACGCTTCCGCTTTCGGTCTACGAGGGTACGTGGACACACTCTCCCCTCCCGTTGCTATGCATCACCATGATCTTGCGTGTGCGTAGGAATTTTTTTGAAATTACTACGTTCCCCAACAGTGGCATCCGAGCCTAGGTTTTATGCGTTGATGTTATATGCACGAGTAGAACACAAGTGAGTTGTGGGCGATACAAGTCATACTGCTTACCAGCATGTCATACTTTGGTTCGGCGGTATTGTTGGATGAAGCGGCCCGGACCAACATTACGCGTACGCTTACGCGAGACTGGTTCTACCGACGTGCTTTGCACACAGGTGGCTGGCGGGTGTCAGTTTCTTCAACTTCAGTTGAACCGAGTGTGGCTACGCCCGGTCCTTGCGAAGGTTAAAACAACACTAACTTGACGAACTATCGTTGTGGTTTTAATGAGTAGGTAAGAACGGTTCTTGCTAAGCCCGTAGCAGCCACGTAAAACTTGCAACAACAAAGTAGAGGACGTAACTTGTTTTTGCAGGGCATGTTGTGATGTGATATGGTCAAGACGTGATGAGATATAAATTGTTGTATGAGATGATCATGTTTTGTTGAAGTTATCGGCAACTGGCAGAAGCCTTATGATTGTCTCTTTATTGCATAAGATGCAAGCGCCAAATAATTGCTTTACTTTATCGCTATGCGATAGCAATAGTTGCAAGAGCAATAGTTTGCGAGACAACCATGTGACGACACATTGATATAGATCAAGATGATGGAGATCATGGTGTCATGCCGGTGATGATGGTGATCATGACGGTGCTTCGGAGATGGAGATCACAAGCACAAGATGATGATGGCCATATCATATCATTTATATTGATTGCATATGATGTTTATCTTTTATGCATCTTATCTTGCTTTGATTGACGGTAGCATTTTAAGATGATCTCTCACTAATTTTCAAGAAGTGTTCTCCCTGAGTATGCACCGTTGCCAAAGTTCATCGTGCCCAGACACCACGTGATGATCGGGTCTGATAAGCTCTACGTCCATCTACAACGGGTGCAAGCCAGTTTTGCACACGCAGAATACTCAGGTTAAACTTGACGAGCCTAGCATATGCAGATATGGCCTCGGAACACGGAGACCGAAAGGTCGAGCGTGAATCATATAGTAGATATGATCAACATAGTGATGTTCACCATTGAAAACTACTCCATCTCACGTGATGATCGGTTATGGTTTAGTTGATTTGGATCACGTAATCACTTAGATGACTAGAGAGATGTCTGTCTAAGTGGGAGTTCTTAAGTAATATGATTAATTGAACTTAAATTTATCATGAACTTAGTCCTGGTAGTATTTTTCAAATTATGTTGTAGAACAATAGCTCGCGTTGTTACTTTCATATGTTTATTTTGATATGTTCCTAGAGAAAATTGTGTTGAAAAATGTTAGTAGCAATGATGCGGATTGGATCCGTGATCTGAGGTTTATCCTCATTGTTGCACAGAAGAATTATGTCCTTAATGCACCGCTAGGTGACAGACCTATTGCAGGAGCAGATGCAGACGTTATGAACGTTTGGCTAGCTCAATATGATGACTACTTGATAGTTTAGTGCACCATGCTTAACGACTTAGAATCGGGACTTCAAAGACGTTTTGAACGTCATGGACCATATGAGATGTTCCAGGAATTGAAGTTAATATTTTAAGCAAATACCCGAGTTGAGAGATAGGAAATCTCCAACAAGTTCTATAGCTAAAAGATGGAGGAGAATCGCTCAACTAGTGAGCATGTGCTCAGATTGTCTGGGTACCTCAATCACTTGAATCAAGTGGGAGTTAATCTTCCAGATAAGATAGTGATTGACAGAGTTCTCTAGTCACCATCGCAGTGCAAGGGATGATGAAAATGATTCCCGAGCTCTTCGTGATGTTGAAATCGACGAAGGTAGAAATCAATAAAGAGCATCAAGTGTTGATGATTGACAAGACCACTAGTTTCAAGAAAAGGGCAAAGGGAAAGAAAGGGAACTTCAAGTAGAATGGCAAGCAAGTTGTCACTCCTGCGAAGAAGCCCAAAGCTGGACCAAAGCCTGAAACTGAGTGCTTACACTGCAAAGGAAATGGTTACTAGAAGCGGAGATGCCCTGAATATTTGGTGCATAAGTAGGATGGCAAAGTGAACAAGGGTATATTTGATATACAGGTTATGGATGTGTGCCTTACTAGTGTTTATAGTAGCCCCTGAGTATTTGATACTTGTTCGGTTGCTAAGATTAGTAACTCGAAATAGAAGTTACAGAATAAACAGAGACTAGTTGAAGGGGAAGTGACGATGAGTGTTGGAAGTAGTTCCAAGATTGATATGATCATCATCGCACACTCTTTATACTTTCGGGATTAGTGTTAAACCTAAATAAATGTTATTTGGCGTTTGCGTTAAGCATGAATATGATTTGATCATGTTTATTGCGATACGGTTATTCATTTAAAGTTAGAGAATAATTGTTATTCTGTTTACATGAATAAGACCTTCGATGGTCATACACCCAATGAAAATAGTTTGTTGGATCTCGATCGTAGTGATACACATATTCATAATATTGATGGCAAAAGATGCAAAGTTAATAATGATAGTGCAACTTATTTATGGCACTGCCGTTTGGCTCATATCGGTGTAAAGTGCATGAAGAAATTCCATAAAGATGGATTTTCGGAATCACTTGGTTATG